AGTTAATGGACCGACATGAACGTAAGCGATGGTGGAAACAATTTGGAAGGGGTAAAAAGAGAGCGCTAATAGAGAGATGATGATGGCATTGTGAGCGGCATTGATAATTGGTCGAGCAGATCAATCATCATCAGTGTCCAAGGTGATGGATCTCTTGCGTGGGATGTCCCGTCACCTCCGTCGTCCTTTCTTCCCCAGCGGTCAGCTTCGGCCTAATTTGTCTTCTGGGTCGCATGTTGTCTCCTCCGATCCATCTCCACTGATATATTGATGCATTATATTGGCGGGTTATGTCTTCGTTTGAGGGATAATGGTGTTGTATAAAATGACAGTTATGTAAAAATCTGACTATGGTACATTTAATGCAACAACAAAATGCTTGTATACGATTGCTACTAGAAACACTTCAATAGAAAATTCTGGAGCGGTGCGCATCACACAACTTTTACTTACCAGCCTCAGAGTAGATAAATATTTTCAAATACAGGGTGTCCCGTAAGTAGATGGAAATATTGAAAAAGTTTATAGTAGACATCAAGATCTACAAAAAAGTTCGTATAAACAATTGCTCAATTTCCATCAGAAAAGTTAAAAATTCAAGATTTTTGATTTCTTATCACCCTTAAACTGTACTACATTTCTCATAAGAACACTAACGTAGACAAAACGAAATGCAGTGGTTTTGATGGTTTAAATCCAGCCTGGAGGACCATCCGTAAAATCCGTCATTTTTATCAACGATAAAAATTTTCATTTTTTTTATATTACCATCCCGCAATGGCATCGTGTGGTAGACGTAGTCTCCTCCACATCGGAGCGCAAAATGTACTGTACGGGAGTCTTTCTCGACGTTGAACAGGCGTTTGACAGAGGCTGGCACCCGGGACTGCTGTACAAACTCCGCAAATTCCTACCACCTATATATTACCTCATTATCCGTTCATACCTTACTTATCGATATTTCAAAGTAAATCATAATAATGCATGTTCATCCCTCTGTTCCCAGTCTGCTGGTGTTCCTCAATGGAGCATCATCGGTCCTATCCTTTATACAGTTTATACAGGTGATATCCCAACCCATCAATCACGGTCATCACCACCTAAGCAGATGACACTTGTATCCTACCTGTTAATAATGACACTAATTGGATCCCAACCCCTCCAATCGCATGTCACAAACCTTGAAGAATGGTGGCATAAGTGGATAATTAAAATAAATTACAATATATCCCATCAAATTTCTTTTACCCTTCGTCGAAAACCTACAACTTCTTGTCCTACAATATCTTTCAATAATATTCCACTTGTTCCTGTTGAACAAAGCCGCTACCTAGGACTCCACTAGGATAAACGCCTCATTTGGAATCCACATGCTAGACTGAAGCGAAAAGAATGAGTTCGACTTTTCCGACTGTTCCAATACTTACTATACAAAAGCTTTATACTTTCAATGAATTACAAAAGACTCATCTACTTAACCATAATAAGACCTATATGGACTTACGGAATTGAGTTTTGAGGCTCCACTAAACCATCGAATTCCTACCGTATCCAATTCTCACAATTCAAAATCCTTCGTAAAGTCACATATTTTGACAGAAATAAAACCATTCATAAAGACCTTAAAGCTTCATATGTCGCCAGATATCTATCTTTTCATGATAAACTCCAGTCCCATCCGAATCCACTTGTTTCCAGCCTTGCTTTTTCCTGGATTCGTAATAATCCCTCTAGGCGTCTGAAAAGAAGATGGCCTCGTGATCTTCTCATCTAGAATTAAATGGGAAGTGCTACCTCTGGGCAGTATCTCTTCAAGTCTGTTCATGTCATTATTTCTAATGTGTGCATTTTTACTAGTTGTATTGTTTATACAGTTTAAAAAAACAATTTTTTTATGACCAGGCAGACCTTATTGAGTGTATTACCTTATTGAGGTAAATATAAATACTGACCCACTTACAAAAGAACGTCTACGGTTAATAATTTGACTAACGATGTAACAGGAGCACATTTTTTTACCCTTCTAAAGGAATTCTAACTATGCAAGTTGCTCCTAAAACAGTTAAAAATAAACATGATTTGTCTTTTTTTTTAATCTTGCTCAATATTTATTCTTCGACTGCAATTAAATATTGACTTAGCTCAGTCACTTATCTTGATAAAAATGTGTTCCTTCTTCATTTTTCCACTTATTCGCTAATCTTTGCATAAATCGTCATTATTCATTTCCATATTGTTAAGGTTTGAAGGAAATTTCATTGATGTTACGTATTATTTAAATGACGAAAAAAAAACGTTTATTGGTAATTAAAGCCTACTTTTCTCTGACCATTCATGGATAAATGAAAAACCTTTATCCAACACATTGATACTACGAACATCGACAGTCGTTTACACTACAGAAAGATTAGATCCAAAACAGCTTTTTCCAGGTCAGTGACAGATTTCCATATTGGAATATTCGAAATAAACGGAGGGGGCGCCGTATCAGGACTTTTCAGTCTAGAGGGGGGAATGGTGGGAGGGGGAGGGATGAGGGGATTGGTGATGGATATAGGAAATGAGAAAACACAGAATACTTGTCTACTGTCACTTCTACATCGGCTATTCACGTTAGAGGGATATTATAGCGATATTCGTATCGTTCCCTGTGAAAGTTTTTTCTGATAGGGAATTTGATTGTATTAGTATCTGGTACATTGCATAGATTTGATATATCTATTTTATAATTTAAATTTCATTGTTTTATACCATAAAAATTATGTCTCAAACGAAATTAATTTTAACTCTTAAAATTATAAACCCTTCATTTTTTTCTGCATTAGATATGTTGATTGATTTCTTAGATTGCACTTATTTTAACAAGGCCGAAACCTTACAAGTAAACGAACGAAAGTATGTTTTGTATCTAGTTTCTGTCTTTGGTTCAATTTTTGAGATTTGGCATAAAAAGTTATATCGATTTTTTTTTAAGCGTCTTAGGTTTTAAAATATGGGCTCTAATGATTTTTTCTATCAAATACAAATAAAATACAAAAAAAAATTATATCCAATAAATAAGAAAATAGAATTTTTCAAAGAATTTGGGATTGTTTGTATTTGACTTTCGTTCGTTTCGCTTTTGCTCAACTCGTTTTGATTCGTATGCCAAACCGAACTCAGTATAGTATTATGTTTTTATTATTTTTTTTTAATTTAATTTTAATTAAATTTACAACTGTATTACATAGAAAATAAAATAAGTATATGTGACATTGGTAACATGACATGTACAAGATGAAGAGAAACTACCCATTGGTAGAACTCAAATTAAAGTTCTATATTAGAAGGTCCCGAGGCCATTTTCTTTCCAGACGCCTCGGAGGGTTATCAGGGATCGAGGAGTAAGCAAGGTTTGAAACTAGAGGATTCGGATGGTTCTGCTGTTTGTTATGGAAGGATAGCTATCTGGATTGGGGCAAATCGGAAACATATGGAACATTAAGGTCTTTATGGATGATTTTATTTGTGACAAAGTAAGGAGCGTTGAGGATTTTACGAAGGATTTTGGATTGTAAGGATTGGATACGAGAGGAATTCGATGGTTTAGTGGAGCCCCAAAGCTCAATTCCGTAAGTCCAAATAGGTCTAATTATTATATATGAGTCATTTGTAATTGATTGAAAGCTTAGAGCGTTTGTCTAGTAAGTGCTGCAGTAGTCGAAAAGGTCGGGCGGTTTCTAGTCGTTTCAGTCTGGTATGGGGGTTAGTATAGTGTTATAGATTAATCTTTTGTTTCTTTCATCTTTCATAAGTTAGGTGAGGATCAGTAGTCCAGTATATATGAGAGTTGATTATATCATCTCGTCAATTATTTTATTTTTTATGTGTTACAACTAAGCCTTCTGTCTAAGTAGAATTCGACGTAAATAGTTTTTCTTTGGCTGATGCTTATGGGTGGTCATGAATCTTTCTCTAAGGAAAACTTACTTGATTATATTTTAATTTTAAGTTTTCACTTACTACTCTTCAATGTCAAACAAATGGTTCTGAAGGGCAATAAATGTTGGATTTAAGCGACAGTATTCTATTATGCATAGCAAAGGTAAAAATGGTAATGGGATATTCAACATTTCACACTCCAACCCAAAACCAATCGTTCTATCAATTTTCTTCTCTCTGATAAAAAATAAAATGGCGCTGAGATGTGCTGTTTCACCAAGGGGGCAGGGTGGTCGAATGGGCTAAAGCGTGTGCACAGCGCTGCGAGTTGCCTGGCAACCGGAGAACAAAGATTCGAGATGATAAAATAGTATGGGCGTCCGGTGCCGAAGGGGATTTTAAATTCCCCGCCCTTACCCCCCGGCCCGGGAGAATCCCGTATAGCCTATAAGGCGAGGTAGGGAAGAACAAAACAAAAAAAAAATGTGCTGCTTCACCAATATCAACTAACTAGGCCATTATCTAACTTTTTTATTTTTATTTTATTTATTTATAAATATAATAATCTGTCACGCATACAATAATTATAGTGAGATATGAACACATTCACACTATATATACAGAAAAAATAAAAAAATTCATAACAAAAGTAAAATAATAACTAAATAATAATTAATAACTATGTACAATAAAACATAAAATAACTTAAAGATAAGTAAATTGAAAACATAAAAACTCAGTCAAACCTATATACAATAAATAAAATCAGGTAGGGAAACCCATGCTAGGCTTGTCCCTCCAACTATAGAGGGGAAAGCGGGACTCCAAGAGATCTCTGCGCTACTCTCTCTAAGGAAAACTAGGAGGCTAAAACCAGTGGAGATTGAGCTAGAGGGCTATCTAATCAAATCAAAGAAAGTAAACAGTTACATAAAATTCGCTAGATGTACTACTGAGCTGTTGCGAATGACGTAAAAAAAATAAATAAGAAAGGGTTGAAATTTGATAGCGTGTTTCTAAAAATAAAAAAAAAAATCAAGAAAGTTCCTAATTTAAACTAATGTTAATGAGATTAGAGGCTAGATGCCAGAGGATAATTGAGTTGTTATCAGCTGACGGGCTGACAATGCGATGTGGTGGTGGAGGAGGGACTATTCCTTTGACAACTCTCCTAATATCCCATGCTCCCTCTCGCAAACTTACACCGAACAATCTAAAGCAATAGCCTTGTCCCCACTGCTCTAGCCTAGAACCGAGACAGAATAAGCAGGTATAGATATGGTCCTAGATATCTTGCCGGCGGAATTTAACGCAAATTATTAATATTATTAAATGTGAATCATGATTAAAACACGCAATTTTCTTTTAGTTGTCACATCAATCTAAGATTTTTGTAATTTATTTATTTTTTGTCCACCCCTACATCAAGTTTTAAGCTATACAGGGATTTTCCCGGGTCAGAGCAGAGGGCGGAGGATTAATGTCAGAGTTAAACCTCCCGGGTAACGGGACCCGAATTCGTAATTACCGAATTTATAAACTTCAGTTTATCAATCATTTGGTTTACGGGCAACGCTTGTACAAAATACCCTCGGCCCTACCGCCCCCAACTAATCTAAGGTAATAAATCTTTATGTTTCTGAAATTACTAAAATAATTTTTAATAATAATACACACCCAGCGAGAACTCTCACTATAAACAACTTTCCTTCTACTTAATTCGAAATATAAGCAGCATCAGTGATCAGAAAAAAATTGAACCAGTCGTATACACAGTATAATATTATCAAAATAGTTTATAGATTTTATAGTGTAAATAGGTATGTATGTGTTCTCTTGATTTATTTATAGGTTATTTTATTCTTATTTATTGAACATAAAGTGTGAATGTGATCTCTGAACACTATTATAAATATCCTTTGAGAAAGATTGTAATGTTTTTCAATAAATTTTTATTATTATTACTTTTTTTATTGAATATTAATACATTCTGCCACATTGAAGGGCATTAATATTTTTCAATAAATAAGTTAAACGAATATAACGCACGCAGTTGACGACGCTTTATACTTTAACGCGACTTTTAAAGTAACAATTTACTAACTTTACGTTAGGGTTATTTTAGGACTATGTTCTTGAGCTTATTTTTAATTTTAAATCACATTACTGATAGTAACATTGTTATATCAAGACTGAAGGAATGTTGTCTGAATACAAAAATGTTTTAACCCACGAAGAAATTTAATTTTAAAGATATACTCTAGTAAGTCCCTAAGTAAACCTGGTTTACAGTAATAAGAAATTAGTTTATCTAACGGGAAAATGTTAATGCTTAATAATCTGTCATTAAGAGCTATCCCTGAACTTATATTGATCAATCATTAAACTCATTCAAGTCTATTTGTTTATTACAGAAAATCTTGTTATATAGTTCTCTCACAGGCTAAGAGAATAGAAGTCAATCAATTACTGATAGTGTTGTACAAATGCGAAACTAAGACGAGTCGTCTCACAACAGTCTTGCAGTTACCTATTAGCTTGTTACTATAGAGATACTACAGTAATTTTAACCTAACTAAGCCTGAATGAAAATTTAAAAGAGTTATATGTAAAATTAGATTGGTCATACAAATTCTGTCCATACATTAACTAAAATTTTCAAGTATTAGTACCTATTTTGCCGTAATTTTTATTCAAAAAATAGATTTTTTTTATCAGTCTTGGTCTTGGTCCAGCAACAGTTAGACGGTCTTGATCTTGATCTAGCACTTTTCAAGACCAATACCGATTTTTGGGCTTTAAACTCCAAGGCCGTGTACATTTCCTAAGAAACTATCTCAGTTTCGTAATCTAATTATTGTCAATGACTTATACTATTAAATTAAGAACAACTCAACTGAAAATCATGCGATGTGCAAAATACTAAATTTAAATATATAGAATGAAAATATGAGTTAATATGCTAGTTCTTCTAATTTACAACTAAACAAAAAAAAAATACTTGTACGCTCACTTCACCTATCATTGTAAAATTTAAAGAAAACCATAAACTTCTTGGCCCAAAGATGCGGGACCAAATTACCCAAAATATTTGCATAATCTTTTCAGGACTATGGCCATAGTGCTGTCAGAACGATAAAAAAAAATATTAACTTTACGGCATTTTTTATACGTTTCAATGAATAATATATATTACATTTTAACTTCAATTTTCTATTAAAAATGTCAGAACCATAAGAATGTTATTTTCTGAGGACAATTGAAGGAATTGACGTTTCAGTGACAATATTCTCACTCCGTTAAAGTAATTTCCCTATGAGTACCCCGCAATTATGCATATTTGAAATGAAATATTTTACATTATTCATCTACAGGCCAGTATAATCCCCCCCCCTTCTTTTATGTTTTTTGGTTTACTGGAAATTCGTTTCAGGACAATTTTCTCATCCTAAGAGTATTCTTTATGTTTACTTTATGCATATTTGAAATGAAATATTTTTACATTATTAATCTACTCCATCTATTGTATAATTATCTGCCTTGCTTTTTGTGATATGGCACCAGTTGTCAACAATTTAGTAACAGTCTATATCTATTTAATATTTTTTTTTTGTGTTACCCATCATTTCTTGTTCATTATCAAACGTAAGATATAATAAATGTAATTAAAAGGACTAAAGAAAAATAGAAGTATTTTTGCCTTAACCTTGGAAAAATGTATAAACGGAGGCTTCCTAAAAAAAAAAATAAATAAATAAAAAAAAAATAAGAAGATTTAACTTTATTCTTTAGGTAAATTGTTCTTTTTGGAATCTGTTACTTGAATATTTTTCAATACTTTTCCCATCTAGAGAATTTAATAACATTTCAATCCTTTCATTCGTTTTCCAAAAGTACTCATATCACAGGTTATTATTGCATCTTAAATTCTAAGGCTCTCCTGTGATGTTGCTCTCAAAAGTGATCCTTGGAAGTTGCTTTCGGAGAAAAGCTTTCTTTCAATATCTAGGGAATGGTTACAAAGCGCAGATTATGAAATCGTCAGAAGATCTCGGTAGATAAAGAGCAGCTGGTTGATTAAATCCCTTTAATTAAAATGATTCCATTAAAACAGGATCCATCGGCAACGGAGAGTTTGATCAGACTACTTAGCTACTGGAGCTCTGAATTCCTTAATCTCTTCTTTATATCAGTCCTCTATCTGATTTAGTTTTATTTTCTTATGAGTAAGATACTAAAATGAACAAAGATCTTAGGATTAAAAGATCTTTACTTTAACGTTTCAATAAATCTATGCATCGGAGTTAAACGTGTATATTATTCCATTAAATAATTTAATAAGGGAGAAATTTATTATGATATCCCATAGTTATGGAACATGAACAACCTGAAAAAAATACAGAAATGCGAAATAGTGTTATTTGCTTCCGAATTACAGATCGAGTAACAAAGAAACAAATTTTAACAGCGCAAACTTATAAAACATTGGCTCCCTTGAACAAAGATTAAATAAAATGGACATGGTGTTGTTTACCTACAGGGTAAAGATATAATCCACCGTTAAACTTTATAAAATCATGCTTTTTTATAAAATACTAGAATCCTAAATGGTGAAACATTTTCTCATATACAACTCCATAAATCAGGGATTGAAACGGAAAAAAAGTTGTATTTTTAAAAAAAATTCGGTATGGCCGGAATTTTAATATTCTATAGTTGTTCAATTCGTTTGGAACTAGAATTTTTTCTCAAGCAAGTTTTCAAGTAATGGTTATAGAAAATTAATATTTAAAAGTTCTATCGATTTCGCTGAATATTCTATTAAAGACTGTCCTAGATTTAATATTGTAAGAAAAAAATCAGAAATGGTACCAAGTTTGATTTTGAAACTTGGTGCTAGTTCCGATATTTGACTGCTAATAATCTGTCAATTCTTAAAAATAGTCAACTTTTATAAGAGAGTGTAAGCAAAACATATCGCCAATGACCATATATGATATTATTACGGGTTTTATACCATATAGGGCCTCACTCCAGATGAAGGTCTAAAACAGACAGTAACATTGCCAAATATATGTATATATATATTTTTTTTCTTTTTTCACTGTGACCTAACCTACTTACTTACCATAATATAATTTAATTCATCTGTCCTATTCTTGTTCTTTTCGACCTGGACGTTCTTGAACTTTTAATATTTAGCGTACTTTGTATGACCTGGTCGGAATGTTTCAAACTGGGTCAATTGCTCTTCCATCATGAGGTATTACCACTTTTCAAATAACTGTGGACCTTGAAGCTCAGCAACATAAGGGTTAGCTTTATTGTACAATACAGCACCCTATCAACTCTAACAACACGTATTTCTCCACATATTGCATTTTACCTCAGTCCATTTATTTAACAATTTTTTACAAGAACATGGACCTTTATTTCTTAGGGTATTATTTTTTACGTTAAACGCAAGAAAAATGTATGAGTTGTAAGGGCAACAGCGTCTGTTTATGTACTTGTTTTTTTTTCAGCAATCAGCTCGAATGAACCTTTTTATGACTATCTGATATTTAAATGAAACACTAATAAAATCGTATAAAGAAACAGCGCAAGGATCATCTGAAGTCCTGTTTTCTCTCCTTAGTTGGAGTGTCCTTTCTCAGAGTTCCTTGTAAATAGTGGATGTCTGGGTTGTAAATGTAATTGTAATTGTAACTGTGTTATGATTGTAAATGGTATGTCTGTGTTTTTAAAAAATATATAAATCTTTAGTTCATTTTATTTTTATTTATTTTGTATAATTTTTTATTATTATTTAGCTGTAATTTTGCTTTTATCCATTTTATATTTTCTGTATATTTAGTATGAATGTTATATTATTCAATAAATAAAAACATCAATAAATCTCTAACGTCAGAATACAGTGGTAAGAACTAGAAATATATTTAGAAAACGGCGGTATAAGCGATTAATCATCTTTTGTCTACACTCCTCTTATATTGAAGTGTGATTAAGTTATTGGATAGACAGAAAGTTTTAATAAGTAATCAACTCTAAAACTTTTAGTGGGTTTCCAAGTTTGATCCAGTAGTGCTCTCCATCAGTGAGTCCTGTATTGGTCAGCGAAGTTCATAATGAATCAATCTCAATTAATTTACTATTACGACTTCTTCTTTCTTAGATATGTATAAACTATTGATGCAACTATCAGAAAATATGATGGTTTTAATTGCAATATAAATAATTTCACTCCCTACATTGCCTATATGGTATAGGAATGTTTGAACAAGACAAAAAAAAATATATATATATATATATATATATATCAGCAATGCTGAATGCCACAATAAGTAATTTTTAAACGTTGGAATCTCAACGTCATTGAATATATTGTATTACTAATCTTCGTATATTGTATTGATGATTCGCAGATTAAACAATATAAAAAACGACCGCATGATCTAATAAACATAAATAAATTAACATCTTAATAAGATGCTTGAAACAGTGAGCTTTGCTGATATATTATAACCATTTATATTATACGACAGTGATAAAAAAAAATCCACGAAAAATAATAATCATATTATAATTTTTTTTTTTTTTTATTTATTTATTTTAAATGATATTTACAACTGTATACAAAAAAATACATCTAGTAAATTTGCACATTGGTATAAAGACATGGAACATATGTTGAGAAACTACCCATTGGTAGCACTCTAATCATATGTCTATATTAGAAGATCACGTGGCCATCTTCTTTTCAGACGCCTCGGAGGGTTATCAGGAATCGAATAGGAAGCAAGGTTAGAGACAAGAGGATTGGGGTGGTTATGAAGTTTATTATGGAAGGACAGATATCTGGATTGGGCCAAATCTGATACATAAGGAACATTAAGGTCATTATGGATAATTTTATTTGTAACAAAGTAAGGAGCATTGAGGATTTTACGAAGGATTTTGGATTGCAAGGACTGTATGCGAGAGGAATTTGAATGCTTGGTGGAGCCCCATAGCTCAACCCCGTAAGTCCAAATAGGCCTTATTATAGTCATGTAAATCAGTCTTTTATAATTGATCGGAAGGTTAGAGCGTTTGTCTAGTAAGTGTTGAAGTAGTCGGAAACGTTGAGCGGTTTCTTGTCGTTTCAGTCTGGTATGAGGATTCCAAGTTAGACGTTTGTCCAGATGGAGTCCTAGGTAACGGATTTGTTCAACAGGAATAAGTGAGGTGTTGTTAAAGGATACTGAAGGACAGGAAGTCATTGGTTTACGACGAAGGGTGAAGGTAATTTGATGGGATTTATTGGAATTTATTTTAATTCTCCATTTCTGACACCATTCTTCCAGGTTTGTGATGTGGGATTGAAGGGTTTGGGATGCAATAGATGGGTCGTTATTGACTGATAGGATACATGTGTCATCAGCATATGTGGTGATGACAGATATTATAATCAAAATAAATTTCGTTATAAAGTTAATTTTAATGTCAATTGAAAAGATATCATCAAGCAAATCAAGAAACCAAGAAAAAACTAAATTGTAAACATGGTGTAAAATAATTAAGTATAAAAGAGTAAAAAAGAAACTAATAATAATTATGAATTATGAATACCTTCAGTGCTCGAAACACACCCTAAGGATGACCCACATGTTTGGATTGAAGCGTCGGCATTAATAAAAAAAACTTTAAAATGACTGCGTCCTGACTATTTATCAACTATTATATGTAGAACAGACGACTAACTTCCTTCAGCAATTATTTTAAGAATTGCCTCTGAAGACGGGCAAATAACAATATACTAGGAAATAAATAACAATAGGAAATAAATAACAATATACGGAAGAGAAAAAAAAAATCATATTATAATTAATATTACAAATTATTTTTATATGTGAAGCAATTCAGCACAAAATGTTTCAGATGCAAATCAAAAACATAGGCTAAAAAAATTAAATTGTTATTCTCACTCTTCCATAACAAAAATGATGGAATAATTTAAGAATTTGGTATATAACAATACTAGTGTTGCCCAAAATCGCAAGCGCAAGACCAAGACCAAGGCCGCCTAACTGTTGCAAGAACAAGACCAGGATTGGTAAAAAAAAAATCGATTTTCTTAATACAAATCAATGCAAAATAGTTATTAATACTTGACAATGTTAGCTACTATAAGTTGATTTAACTAATATAATTTTGCATTTAACTCCTCTAATTTTTCCTTCGGGTTTGGTTAGGTTTCTCCTATCTAAAAAAGACAGTAATATCTCTATAGCAATAAGCTAATAAGTAACTGCAAGACTGTTGCGACACTTTTCGCAAGACCAAGACCATGACCAAGACTTAGTTTGCAAGACCAAGACTCGTCTAGACCTCGCATTTGGGCAACACTAAATAATACTAAACTTTTATCCAAATACAAACTAACCTGCTTGAACTCCTTTCTGAAGTTGTCGTTCAACCAGGCATAGAGAAAGGGGTTGTAGCAGGTGGAGGACATGGCGATGGAGTGTCCAACGAAGAAGCAGAGGTAGTAGTAGCGCCAGTTTCCGGTTGGAATGTAGATATCGTTGATGACGTTTATCAGGTTGAGCGGAAGCCAGCTGACGCCGAAGATGGCGACCATTGCGATCAACATCCGGTTGGTCCTTCGCTTCCTTTCCCTGTCTGCTTCCTCTTTGCGGCTTGTCTTCGAGCCTGGCTTGCTCCGCGCTCTGTCGTTCAGCTTCACCGAAACTCGAATATAGCAGAAAGAGATGACGAAGAATGGCACCACAAACTGAAGTGTAGCGGTCATCGCTCCAAACACCTGAAAAATGAAATAATAATCACTTTATTAAGTAAATGCGGTTTGCTCTGTTTTTTTATTAAATTAAAAAATGTGCAAGGTATTTTTCGCAACATAACTAAAGTGTGGGGTGTCCTGTGTAGGATGGCATGGCAAGCTCTGCCATTTAAATATATAAGGGAGGCATATTTTTTAAGGGTTTGTGATTTTTTTGGGGGGTACACTTTTACTGAGTTTATAATTTTCGTTCACTCCGAAATTCACACTACCTATTATTAATCTCATACATTTTGGATAGAGTTCAAAGTAATCAGCCCATCTGAAGTTCTAGGAGGGAATATTCTTTGGAATAATATCTTTGGACCTGTTTAAAGGAGAAATGTTCAGCTCAGAAGAAAAAATCTGGAACTCAAGAGCTGTGTAATGAGGTGGACGTGGTTATATCCATTAAGATTAGAAAATTATACTGGGCTTGATATTTTTCTCGAATGGTTCCATATTGGAGAATATGCGATTTATTAAAAAAATAATAATGAATTACTATTTATCAGATGTAATATATTTTAATTCAAATTGGTAAATAGTGCTTGATTATTATAGTAATATTAATAAGTTAATTATTAATCTTCTATAATTTTATATACGGGATGATGACTTAATTTCTTCTGACTCTACGAAGTTCTCCTACAATAATTTATCCCCACAAGGGATGCCAACATGTAATATTTTATGTGTACTTATATTATTAACCCAACTTTAAATTTTGTTAACATTTAAAGTTGGGTTAATAAGTGATTCTTATATATTTGGCCTCTAAGGTATACATAATTACATATATTATCAAGTTTAATTATATCCTAATTTAATGGTAATTTAAAACTGGAACTACCAACTTATGCCGGAGAAAATGCACAGGACAAGATGAAAGAGAAGACCTAGAGCAAGGTGGTTGGACGGAGTGTCTGTGAAATCAAGAGACTTTCTACCATTTAGAACTAGACAGCTGCATCACAGGATCATGCCAACTAAGCGGAGGCTTTTAGAGGGAGCCCAAATCCAGCGATTGGTTGTTGCCCTGAATATGATGATAAAATCGTTAATTTCTGAAAAGAAATCAACTTATTTTATCTTTAAACTTCTACTCATTAAAGCTAAACTTTACTGCCACTATACACACTTCGATCCTATCGATTACAATTTCCAAACGAGTATTTGGCAAGAAAAAATATGTGCGACACACTGCGACTATCGAAAGTTTTGGAAAATAGTAAAGAATGTTAATAGGGAGTCTAATATCATCAAACTCCATCAGAATGACAGGTTATTAAATCACAAAGAACAAGCTGTAATGTTAGCACAATACTACTGTGAAGAAATCAAAAAGAGAACAGGCAACTTGATTTCGTCTCCAATTTTAGAGAAGGAAAACAATTACATGTTTGTTTCCTTTAAACAATTAAAAACAATTCTCCGCAGGACTAAAGGAAACCGGGCACCAGGCATTGATGGAATTCAGAGTATATTACTCAAACAGTTACCAAGGATAGGTATAATGTACCTGGTGAACCTTTACAACTCCTGTCTACGGCTTCGCTACTTCCCGGATTCATGGAAACATGCTGTTTTATTTCCACTGCTAAAACCAGCGAAAAATTGTAATAACCCAGCTCATTACCGGCCGGTAAGTTTGTTACTTCACCTTGCCAAAATAATCGAAAAAATCATTTTGAAATACTTAAGAAGGTTCTGCACACAGAATGATTTGATCCCACCAGAGCAAAGTGGTTTTCAAGCTCAAACGTGCACTGAACATTCACTGGTAAAACTATAGACGGAGGTAACAAAAAACTTAAATCGAAACAAGGCCACTGCTTTAATATCAATGGACTGTTCGAAGGCTTTTGATTCGGTTTGCCATAATCAGTTCTGCCAACGTCTTATAAATTTAGATTGTCCTGAACAATTATACTCATTGTTAAAATCATTTTTAAGCCGTCCTACCTTATCAGTAAAAGTTGGCAATGAGAAATCAAACACTGTCGGTCTCACTTGTGGGGTACCCCAAGGAGCTGTTTTATCTCCCGTTCTTTTCCTATTATATACTGCGGAAATAGTGGGAAATAAACACCAAAATGCTTCTGTGACAGCATTTGCTGATGACATAGCTGTCTCAAGTAGCAGTATGAATGCCAAAATAGCTATGCAGCAGGCAGAAACAGCTTGTGAAAAAATTGCAAAACAGCTAAAAATCCTAAACATAGATGTCAATCCGGAAAAGACGAAAGGAATTATATTTTCATATGAAAAAAGAAAATGCCAAAGGAATTCAAAATTAACAACACCAGTATTAAATTATCGACTGACAACATATCTCGGTATTCACTTCGACAGACATTTAAAATTTAATAGACATTTTGACAAAAAATTAAAACAGTAAGATCTAAGACATACAGACTCCCTTACAATGCTTTTAAGCAGTAAAAGGTGTATTATTAAGACAATCCAAGGATTAAAGACAAAAATAAGTATAAAGGGGCAATGAAAAAAAAAAGAAAAAAAAAGTAAGACCTTTTGCACTAAAAGAAGTGATATTCATGTTCAGTACACACTGGATTTTTTTTTTTATTTTTAATCTCGAATCAGCAAATATGCAATCTACTTATGCGGATCTTCTTCGCATTTTAGTATTTGCTGATGAACAAAACTCGTGAATACCGAACCTGTGTATGTTGAGGGATTACTGAATTTCCGAAAAAGGCTTCGTCCAGAGATTTTATTTTCACGTGAAAAATTTTAGACCTTGTAATATAGATATTCTTTAGCCAATGCAAACGGTGAAGAAGCTATACTGACCTTACTTGGCAGATTTTTTTTATTCTTAAGTTGAATGCGTTGATTACATTGAATGTTTTTGTTTTTCCTTACTTATTAAGGTTAAAAGAAAACTTTAAAAATGTTTCTCAGTCCACTTTTAAATGATTCCTGGATAAAAGCTGTAAATATGACGTGTGTGAAAAACAGCATTCGCCAGAATATGTCAAAATTGTGACTTTACATGAAGCAAAGGAATTTTTACGGGGAATAGTAACAAGTATACGATACGATCAATCAACCGTAGTCATCGATTAGGAAAAAAGGCACCATGGAGTGAAAGAAAGGAAGAGGGAGGAGGACAAAAACAAACTAAAAAAAAATAAAAACATAAAATTTTTTGACCTCGTAATGCTGCTATTTTTTTCTAAAATATCGTTAAAAAATTGGCAAAAATATCCGGAGATCTTGCAGATAGCTATCGGGTAAATAAAATAGCGTTTAATAATTTGTTACGGGATGATGCCATTTTTATGATCGCTACTGTTTATTTCAGGATGGTCTCGACATTAAAATACTATTTTTAAAGCTTTGGAATATCTGAAGAGATTTATGTTATTCAGAGCGTCAAACACTCCCATGATTCACGTTCAAATCATATCTTAAAATGAATACCCTATTTTGAACCTGACTCCAGAGCCAGTATTAAACCACCATCTCAGATACTAAGACCTTATTTATTTAATTTTTTTTTTAGCCACATTTATTTTAATTGTTTACAGCACTTACTAGACAAACGCTCTAAACATTCCATATATTATAAAAACTCATATACATGACTATAATAAGACCAATTTGGGCTGTTATTGAGATTTTGGACTCCATTAAACCATCGAATTCCTCTCTTATTCAATCCTTACAATCCAAAATCCTTCGTAAAATCCTCAATGCTCCTTACTTTGTCACAAATAAAATCATTCATGACGACCTAAATGTAACATATGTTTTCGATTAAGCCCAATCCAGATACCTATCCTTCCATAACAAACTTCAAAAACATCCGAACCATCTCTTCTTAAACCTTGCTTCCTCTTCGATACCTGATAAGTCTCCAAGGCGTCTGAAAAGAAGATGACCTCGTGATCTACTTATGTAAATATATTATTATAGTGCTACTAATGGGTAGTTTCTCAAGAAGCGTTTTTATTCATGTGATCGTATTATTACCGTGTGCACATTTACTGGATGTATTTTTAAATTTATACAGTTGTAAATCTCATGAATAAACAAAAAAATACTTTATTAGTTATACATATTCCTGGTTCATAATAAATTTCCTATCTAACTCTGTATTCAGCAAATATGATATCAAGGACAAGAAATGATAGCATAAGAAAAAAAGAATAGTAATAACAAAACAAAAAGACAAAAAATAAATTAGTAAAATAACACATAATAACATATTAACACAAAATAAAGAAGAAAAAAACAAGTAGATCAATGGAATAAATCTCTTGGCCAGCGCCTCAGCAGTCTTCTGGGTGGATTATATGGATTTGTGGCAGTAGATACAGCTTGAGTAAGTGGATTGAAATTTAGAGTCAGTCTGTCATGAAAATTAAAGCGGTCAGTGGCAGTTGCCGTGATGAAAGGAATGTTAAGGTAAGTGTGTAACGTGAGGTTTGAAACATAAAAGGGTGCTTCTACAATTTTCCGAAGGACTTTTGACTGGAATGACTGGATGATTTTTATATTTGATTTCTTTGCTGCTCCCCATAGTTCGAACCCATATGTCCAAAGTGGTTGGACTTTTTAAATATTTAGTTTATCAGTCACAGATAATTTAGAACGTCTGTCGAGTAGCCTAGAAAAAAGTCCGTATCGCTGATTAAGTTCTTTTCTTTTTTGTTTTATGTGTTATGTCAATGTCAGTCGTTTGTCCAAGTGGAGACCCAAATATCGTACAGTTTTTGAAGGTACGAACAACAACAAAAATAAATTTTATTTATTTTTTATTTTTTATTTCTTAATGACATTTACAACTGTATTACATAAATACATCAAGTAAATTTGGACATAATAGATATAATGATATGAATACACTTGCTGAGTAACTACCCAATGGTAGCATTCTAATGATATGACTACATTAGGAGATCACGAGGCCATCTTCTTTTCAGACGCCTCGGAGGGTTATC